GAAATCGGTTGAAAAATGTAGGAAATCCGATCCAATATATAAACGTACACACACACACACACACAATCTGGGTTTTATAATAAGTATGATGATAAGCGATAGAGAATTTGAGTAATTGTCATATCCTTTTAGTTATGATGATAAGTGATAGAGAATTGGCAATTGTATATATGAATATGCCATATGCATATTTCAAATACCGTTGCAGTCTGTCGGGAAGCTTCATCAGTGATATTTATTCATGGTGTCACTGGGGTTTCGAACCTCTAAAAAATGACACACTCTCTCCAAGGTAACCCAACCAGGAGGGATCATCTCCCGGTCAGCTTTCCGGCCTCTTTCGAGATTGAATCCATGAAATATTTGCTTCAGTTTATGTTGATTTGATTCTTTTGGGAATTTCTGCTATGTCGTGCCAGAAGATTTTTCTTGTCAGAGTCCATCTCGTACATTTACAAATCTACCATTCGTCGCTGTATTGAATACTGTTGACATATCTGGTCAGATGCTCCTGCTACTCATCTCGAGGTTTTTGACAAAATCCAAAGAAGGATCTGCAAAGTAATCGATCCCGACTTGGCATTTCAACTTCAGTCACTTTCTCACCAACTTGACCTGGCTTCTCTCTGTCTTCTCTACCAATATTTTCATGGCAATTGCTCTGACGAATTTTTTTTTTCCCTGGTGCCCGGACTACGTGAGTTTAAGTGTGCTACTAGATTGGCATCTAGGTCCCATTCTTTTGCTGTTGAAATAGTTAAATGTAACCGCTACTTCTACTCCAACAGTTTCTTTTCTCGTACTTCTTGCCTGTGGAACTTCCTTCCGTTTCCTTGCTTCCCTCACGATCTTCAAAAAATTTCAATGCAGCGTCAATCGCCATCTTCTATCTTTTAAACCCCGTTCAGCTTTTTTTATCTTTCCTTCGACGCTGCTTATACCCTGTGTCTTCTCTCAACTTCACTCTCTGTAATCCCCTACTTAATCAGTGGTATTCCCATCTTGCTTGGGTGAAAAACAGTAACAACAAGAACAAAATCAGCAATTGTTAGAACGATAAAAAACAGCAACAAGAGTTGTTGGATATAATCCCGAAGAAAGAAAAAAATCTTCAACGTCTCTTACGCTGTCCAAAACAAAAATTCAGAATTTCTATACAATCCTGATGAGGGACTGAATTTTTTTCTGTGTATTTTCGTAAATATGAACAAATATTCAGTCAGGAATGCAACGGCTGGGAAGAGAATAATGAAACCGTTGTAGCTCTGATAGAGTATGAAAAATACTGTATCTATATATTACCTATTGTTATGGTCCGGTTCCTTGTACCACGGTGATAGTCCAAGGTATAACTAATAAAGAAGTACTCGAACACAGGTATGGAATAACACAGATATATTACAAACAGGAATATATACAGAGAAGTAGAAGTGTTAGTATGAACAATCAGGTTTAGTTTCGACCAGTATCACTATTCCAATGTCTTGCAGTAATTGTCTGAACGCGACTCGGTTTCGGACTGCCTCTGACTCAACTCTTGACTCGACTTGAACTACTGACTCCCTTGAACTACTCCTGAGGCGCAGTATTTATTAAGTATGGAATAGTCCATTATTATTATTATGGGTACGATCCCATAACACCTATAAAAAAAAATAAAATAAGACAGGTGAAATCTGGTTTGAAGACATGGTACACATTCTGACGAAAATCTTTAGTGACAACAGCTCTCTGGTTAATGATCGTTCGAGGTATATGAATCTAACCAAAAAGAGGACAAATATTTTGTTACGTATTGTGATATCGTCAACAAATAATGTGAAAAGTTTAGAATAAAGGAAATGACTCCAGATATGTTTCAGGGCTTAATTTTCGTTCAAGGTTTAACACCAAAAAGATGCTGAAACACGAGCGAAAATTTTAACGAACATTGAACAAAACAGTAATATTACACTGCAAGGAATAGTGGGCAATTGCCAGACAATTCTAAATCTGACACACGGTGCTGGACAAATTCAGAAAAAAAGAATGTGCATTGATACGAGCAAAGGATAAACGTAGAAAAAGAAGAATAAATCCTTATTTCAGATGTGGTAAAATACATCTTGGAAATGATTGTCCATTTAAAAGGCAGAAAGCTACAAGTGTGGTAAACGAGGGTATATAAAGTCACACTGAAAAACCAAACCAAGAAAAAATTCTCATAGGAAGAAAATCGTACACAGCGACGATAATATGGTCACAGAAAACAAAAGGAAATTAGTGAATATGAAAATAATGTGGGTGTGAAAATGCTACTGGACACTGGTAGTGATATTTCAATAATCAATGAAACCACATGGAAGGAAATTGGAAAGCCTTTATTAAAAAAGACTCCCAAAGTTACAATTTTAGTTTCTGATGAGAAATTATTTTTTTTTTATTTTGAGAAATGACTTGTAATGTCTCATTTGTAATAAACATATAAAGACTAATGCTTATGTATTAAAAATCGCTACAAATTTATTCGATACTGACTGGATGGAACTACCTGAAATTTTGGATTTGCCGATAAACGTTTATTGTAAAAACGTAAATGAACAAGCGAACAATTTAAATAGTCAGAGCAAAAATTTTAAGGAAAATTTCTTAAAAATGTTTTCCAGATCCTCTGTCAAATGAACTGGGTCGGTGTTTAAAATTCAAGGCGGATTTTCAAGAAAAAAAAAGGTTTGACGCCAGTATTTAAGCCGAACAGGAGCATACCATTCGCAGAGTTGGAACAAGTCAACGAAAAGTTGGACAGATTCGAAAGAATTGGTGTAATAAAAAATGGGCTGCACAGCGGTGTGTGGAGTTAACTCCACTTACTTTCCTAAAAAAATACGCCACTAGAGGGCGCTTTCTGAACCTATAAATACACTGTAATATGTTCTATCATTCTCCTTTTCCTATTTCACTCACGGACGGTAAGATGTAGGTCGAACGAGGAAAACGCTTTCCCCACTGGGGAACGCAACACGCGGGCGCACTCACACTTCACTTTATTTCCTTCATTTTTCTAGGACGTCTGCACACGAACAATTCACTAGTTTTAAATGTTTTTGAATGTTCATTGTTTTGTCACATACATACAATATCATTGTCTTTATCGCTCGCAACAATGTAACTTTTGTTTTGTTAATAATACATTATCATTTGTTTGCATATATATTGGTTTTTGTTTCTTTGTATTCTATTACACGGACACACATGCAAATCTGCCATTTTGTTGTATGATAAATACACCAAGAGACACGTGTTTTCCAAGTCAAACACCAACGTACATACTCCAGCAACAGGTGTACGTAAAAAAAAAAAATTAAATCCGTGTATGCGCGGATTTCTCGATAGGATTAAACAGTTGTTTAGAAACAGAAGTACCCATTACCAAGTTAAACGGCGGAAGAATATTTTCAAAGCTGATATCTCTGAAGCGTATTTACAAGATGAATGTTCAGAATTAACGACCATAAATATACACAGAGTTTTATATAAGTTTAACCGACTTCCTTTTGGTATAAAGGTGGCGCCAGATATTTTTCAATGACCTATGTATACCATGTTTGCGGACTGCGATTTCGCAGTGGTGTACCTGGACGTCATTTTAATCAAAAGTGTATCTAAAGAGCAACATGTTGGACATAGGGAAGCAATTTCGGAAAAAAAAACTAAGAGAGTATGGATTCAAGCTCAGTGAAGAAAAATGCGAATTGTTTTTTGTTGAAATTAAATACCTTGGTCAAATTATTGATAAAAATAGTCGTCGACAAGATCTATCGAGGGTAAGTGCAATTAAAAATATGCCTCCACCAACAAACTGTACATAATATGCATAATTTGAGAGCTCCACTGAACGATCTACTTAAAAAAGGAGTAAAGTGGAATTGGAATGATAACTGTCATTAAGCCATTTGAAGAAATAAACAAAGACTTATGTCAGATTTATCTGATAAATCTCAAAGACTTATGACATTCTCAATGAAGGGTTATTCTCAGACTTTAGTCAGATTTATCAGATTTATCTGATAAATCTCAAAAGATATATATGACATTCTCAAAGACGTGTTATTCTCAAAGACTTATGTCAGATTTATCTGATAAATCTCAAAGACTTATGACATTCTCTAAAAGACGTGTTATTCTCAAAGACTTATGTCAGATTTATCTGATAAATCTCAAAAGACTATGACATTCTCAAAGACGTGTTATTCTCAAAGACTTTAGTCAGATTTATCAGATTTATCTGATAATCTCAAAAACTTTGACATTCTCAGTAGACCATCTGAAAGGACATATTCATAAAACATAATTAACATTAGACTATATTTAATTCAACATGAAAAGACGATGGACATGTTGAATTAAATATAATCTAATGTCAAATTATGTTTTATGAATATGTCCTGAAGATGGTCTACTAGACCGAAACTTTATATTAATATTAAAACAGTATAATTGCATATTAGGATTTTTTGTTTTTTTTTTCCGTATATTTTTCTTCATACTGTCGGATCTATATCCATATATTTGCTTATATATATATATATATATATATATATATATATATATATATATATATATATATAAAAGGTCCGTCACGGAAATCTGGAGTCAGGATACTGAAGGTAACATTAATCTGCTAAGTAAACAAATTTTATATTTTTATATATATATATATATATATATATATATATATATATATATATATATATATATGTGTGTGTGTGTGTGTGTGTGTGAGAGAGAGAGAGAGAGAGAGAGAGAGACAGAGAATGGGCGAGAGAGATAAAATATTGGGTATGTTTGGAAGCAGTTTATACAAGTTTAGTTAAAGACGAATGAGGATTCTTTGTTAAGGAATTATTTATATTTGTCAGACCCTTGTGGTTTTTAGTGAAAATGAATTATTTCATGTTCGAAACTTTTTGTCTTTAATGAGTGATTACAAGGTTTTTTTTTTGGTAATATTGGTAAAATGTATGTCTTCTCTATCTCTCTCTCTCTCTCTCTCTCTCTCTCTCTGTGCGTATGTGTTACAAATCTTCTACTTTATATGCCGTGTCCCTGTAGGACGTGGGCGATCATGGCTCTCCACAATTTTCTGTCTTTTGTAGCTCTTAATAATTTTTGTCTTTTTGTTATTTCTCTTAAACTATCTTCCAGCATCCATTTACTCAAGCTCATTCTTATATACTGTGTCTTTTTAAGACGTTGCTGATCATGGCTCTCCACAATTTCCTATCCTTTGTCGTTCTTAATAAATTTTGTCTTTTGGTTATTTCTCCTAAAACCTCTTTCGCCATCCATTTACTCAAGCTGATCCTTCTTTTTTATATGCTGTCTCTCTTTAGGACGTTGCTGATCATGGCTCTCCACAATTTCCTATCCTTTGTCGTTCTTAAGAAATTTTGTCTTTTTTTTTATTTCTCCTAAAACCTCTTTCGCCATCCATTTATTCAAGCTGATCCTTCTTTTTTATATACTGTGCCTCTTTAGGACGTTGCTGATCATGGCTCTCCACAATTTCCTATCCTTTGTTGTTCTTAATAGATTTTGTTTTTTTGTTATTTCTCCTAAAACCTCTTTCGCCATCCATTTACTCAAGCTGATCCTTTTTTATATACTGTCTCTCTTTAGGACGTTGCTGATCATGGCTCTCCACAATTTCCTATCCTTTGTCGTTCTTAATAGATTTTGTCTTTTTGTTATTTCTCCTAAAACCTCTTTCGCCATCCATTTACTCAAGCTGATCCTTCTTTTATATGCTGTCTAAAATTTTAGGACGTTGCTGATCATGGCTCTCCACAATTTCCTATCCTTTGTTGTTCTAAATAAATTTTGTCTTTTGGTTATTTCTCCTAAAACCTCTTTCGCCATTTCATTTACTCAATATATTTGATCCTTTTTTTATATACTGTGTCTCTTTAGGACGTTGCTGATCATGGCTCTCCACAATTTCCTATCCTTTGTCGTTCTAAATAAATTTTGTCTTTTTGTTATTTCTCCTAAAAACCTCTTTCGCCATCCATTTACTCAAGCTGATCCTTCTTTTTATATGCTGTTCTCTCTTTAGGACGTTGCTGATCATGGCTCTCCACAATTTCCTATCCTTTGTCGTTCTTAAAGAAATTTTTCTTTTTTTTATTTCTCCTAAAACCTCTTTCGACATCCATTTACTCAAGCTGATCCTTCTTTTATATACTGTGTCTCTTTAGGACGTTGCTGATCATGGCTCTCCACAATTTCCTATCCTTTGTCGTTCTAAATAAATTTTGTCTTTTTGTTATTTCTCCTAAAACCTCTTTCGCCATCCATTTACTCAAGCTGATCCTTCTTTTATATGCTGTCTCTCTTTAGGACGTTGCTGATCATGGCTCTCCACAATTTCCTATCCTTTGTCGTTCTTAAGAAATTTTGTCTTTTTTTTTATTTCTCCTAAAACCTTTTTTCGACATCCATTTACTCAAGCTGATCCTTCTTTTTATATACTGTGTCTCTTTAGGACGTTGCTGATCATGGCTCTCCACAATTTCCTATCCTTTGTCGTTCTAAATAAATTTTGTCTTTTTGTTATTTCTCCTAAAACCTCTTTTTCGCCATCCATTTACTCAAGCTGATCCTTCTTTTTATATGTCTCTCTTTAGGACGTTGCTGATCATGGCTCTCCACAATTTCCTATCCTTTGTTGTTCTTAATAAATTTTGTCTTTTGTTATTTCTCCTAAAACCTCTTTTCGCCATCCATTTACTCAAGCTGATCCTTGTTTTTTATATGCTGTCTCTCTTTAGGACGTTGCTGATCATGGCTCTCCACAATTTCCTATCCTTTGTCGTTCTTAATAAATTTTGTCTTTTTGTTATTTCTCCTAAAACCTCTTTTCGCCATCCATTTACTCAAGCTGATCCTTCTTTTTATATGCTGTCTCTCTTTAGGACGTTGCTGATCATGGCTCTCCACAATTTCCTATCCTTTGTCGTTCTTAATAGATTTTGTCTTTTTGTTATTTCTCCTAAAACCTCTTTCGCCATCCATTTACTCAAGCTGATCCTTCTTTTATATGCTGTGTCTCTTTAGGACGTTGCTGATCATGGCTCTCCACAATTTCCTATCCTTTGTCGTTCTTAATAAATTTTGTCTTTTGTTATTTCTCCTAAAACCTCTTTCGCCATCCATTTACTCAAGCTGATCCTTTTTTTATATGCTGTCTCTCTTTAGGACGTTGCTGATCATGGCTCTCCACAATTTCCTATCCTTTGTTGTTCTTAATAAATTTTGTCTTTTTTGTGATTTCTCCTAAAACCTCTTTTCGCCATCCATTTACTCAAGCTGATCCTTCTTTTTATATACTGTGTCTCTTTAGGACGTTGCTGATCATGGCTCTCCACAATTTCCTATCCTTTGTTCTTAATAAATTTTGTCTTTTTTGTTATTTCTCCTAAAACCTCTTTCGCCATTTCATTTACTCAAGCTGATCCTTCTTTTTATATACTGTGTCTCTTTAGGACGTTGCTGATCATGGCTCTCCACAATTTCCTATCCTTTGTCGTTCTTAATAAATTTTGTCTTTTTGTTATTTCTCCTAAAACCTCTTTCGCCATCCATTTACTCAAGCTGATCCTTTTTTTTATATACTGTGTCTCTTTAGGACGTTGCTGATCATGGCTCTCCACAATTTCCTATCCTTTGTTGTTCTTAATAAATTTTGTCTTTTTTGTTATTTCTCCTAAACCTACCTCTTTTCGCCATTTCATTTACTCAAGCTGATCCTTCTTTTTATATACTGTGTCTCTTTAGGACGTTGCTGATCATGGCTCTCCACAATTTCCTCTCCTTTGTTGTTCTTAATAAATTTTGTCTTTTGATTATTTCTCCTAAAACCTCTTTCGCCATCCATTTACTCAAGCTTAATCCTTCTTTTTATATGCTGTCTCTCTTTAGGACGTTGCTGATCATGGCTCTCCACAATTTCCTATCCTTTGTTGTTCTTAATAAATTTTGTCTTTTTGTTATTTCTCCTAAAACCTCTTTCGCCATCCATTTACTCAAGCTCATTTTTTTCTTTTATATACTGTCTCTCTTTAGGACGTTGCTGATCATGGCTCTCCACAATTTCCTATCCTTTGTCGTTCTTAATAAATTTTGTCTTTGTGCTATTTCTCCTAAAACCTCTTTCGCCATCCATTTACTCAAGCTGATCCTTCTTTTTTATATACTGTGTCTCTTTAGGACGTTGCTGATCATGGCTCTCCACAATTTCCTATCCTTCGTCGTCCTTAATAAATTTTGTCTTTTTTGTTATTTCTCCTAAAACCTCTTTCGCCATCCATTTACTCAAGCTGATCCTTCTTTTTTATATACTGTGTCTCTTTAGGACGTTGCTGATCATGGCTCTCCACAATTTCCTATCCTTTGTTGTTCTTAATAAATTTTTTGTCTTTTTGTTATTTCTCCTAAAACCTCTTTCGCCATTTCATTTACTCAAGCTCATTTTTCTTTTTATATGCTGTGTCTCTTTAGGACGTTGCTGATCATGGCTCTCCACAATTTCCTATCCTTTGTTGTTCTTAATAGATTTTTGTCTTTTTGTCATTTCTCCTAAAACCTCTTTCGCCATCCATTTATTGTTGATCCTTCTTTTATATGCTGTCTCTCTTTAGGACGTTGCTGATCATGGCTCTCCACAATTTCCTATCCTTTGTCGTTCTTAATAAATTTTGTCTTTTTGTCATTTCTCCTAAAACCTCTTTTCGCCATCCATTTACTCAAGCTCATTTTTTTCTTTTATATGCTGTGGCTCTTTAGGACGTTGCTGATCATGGCTCTCCACAATTTCCTATACTTTGTCGTTCTTAATAAATTTTGTCTTTTTTGTTATTTCTCCTAAAACCTTCTTTTTTTCGCCATCCATTTAGGACGTTCAAGCTCATCCTTCTAAATTTTTTTTAGCTCATTTTTTTTTTATGTGTCTTTTATTTTAGGACGTTGTTGATCATGGCTTTCCATAATTTCCTATCCTTTGTCGTTCTGAATAAATTTTGTCTTTTTGTTATTATAAAACCTCTTTCGCCATCCATTTACTCAAGGTATGTTCCTTTAGAACATTGGCGAATATTTCCGGAGACAGTAGTATTGGACATTTCCATGACGGTCGTCCTTAGTATTGAATCAAGGGTTGGCAGTGGATATTTCGGAGACAGTGGGAACGCGTAGTGAAGGTTCATCAGCAGAGTATAGTTCATCCTTCTCCTGGTCCTTTTGGTCCTTCTGGTAGACGAAACAAGATGGCTGCCTTTATACACGACGAATACAGTGTTAGGCGGCTTCTGATTGGTCAACCTTCCATTGGTCGATTATAAAGGGAAATAAGTCATTCTGACTCGCTCACTAGTTATATATATATATACCCAAAAAACCGTAACAGCCCCCCTTATTTTTGGGTATATATGGAATCTTTAATTGGTTATATAGACGAGTCTATTTCAGGAAGTACAGCACATCGTTTGATTTTTTTTTTTTAGTGAATCTTTTTGTAACCTTTTTGTTTTTTTTTCTTTTTTGCCTTTGTTTTATTTTTTTAATTTTCTTTTTTTTTTTTTTTTTTTTTTTTCAGCCCTTTTTTATCTTTTTTTTTTTTGTTTTATCTTTTCTTGTTTTGTTTTGCATTTTCCTTTTTTTTTTTATTCTATTTTTTTGTTTTGTTTTTTATTTTTCCTGTTTATTTCTAAACCTTGTAAGAAAAAAAAAGAAAGTAGGAACTAAAGTTAAAGTGTTCGGCCTGGTGGGCCGCTAAAACCCATCATGGCCGACAATAACATCGAGGATGGCAATACGCCGCCTTCTCAACCGGTTTCACCTGCTAAGACGGCCTGGGGCAAAACAGGCCGCCAAAAAGATGCAGCCTTTTACTGTGAACAAGGAAAAAGTTTAAGGAATCGTTTAAAGGTAATGAATTCCTTACCATTCAGGAAGCATTAGATGCTGTGGATACCAGAACAATCTCTCTGCTAACATCTGATGTAAAGACCA